TAATTAGTTTAATAATTATTTATTATAGTAGATATTCATTTATAATTATTATTATATGTATCAGTATTGATTCAATTATCTATAATATTTATTTAGTAATTTATAAAACCTTTAAATACAACCCTGAAATAATAATTAAAATTGATAAAAATTACATAAAATATGGTTGTTTCCCAAAAATTTTTTTGCTAGTTTTTCATTTTTATGAATATTTTTTTAAAGAATGGATAGATTTTTCAATTTTAAGTTAATGAATATTTAAGTTTAAATACTGATCAAATATTATTTCACAAAATTCACAAATATTTGAACGAGAATCTGCAAGCTTGTAAGCTTGAATCTTTCTTATATAAAATATTTAAGTTTAAATTTTAATAAAAAATAAAAATTTGAGAGAAATAAGATTTATGGGTAGCAAGTTTTTTTTCTTTCATTATTTATTTATGGCATTTGAATCATTTGATCATTTTGCCAATTACATGGATATAATATGGATGTACTCGTATACATTCATTTTCATTTCAAAAACTTATAAATTAATCTTATTATTAGTGATATACATAATTTTGCATATATCAATGATATTCTTAGATGTCAAAACTTGTGAGCTCATGGGAAAAACGATTACTTTCTTCTGTAATATTTTGTACATTGTTTGCCTTTGTTTCTCGTATATTTTGCATTACCAAAAAATTTGGTCTATTGTTTCTAATTAGTACTAAATTTGCTCCTGCAAAGAAAATTAATAAGTTTTTTTATTTATGAAAAAATTCACTAGTTAACTTCTTGATTAATTTCACTTATCAAGTAGGTTAATGGATTTTTGATATGGTCAGTCACAAAAACTGTATTCTATTTTAAAATATATATTAAACTTTTATTATTATTATATATTTATATTTATTATTTTCTAGAAGGATTTGAAAAGAAAACATTCAATTAATATCAATTACAAACCAATTAGAGATTTGGAACATTAATTTTTGATATTCGATATAGAGAATTTTATTTTTTTGCCATGGAAATGCCCATAATTATACATCAACTATATTATTTGCATCAAATGTATGTATATAGAATCATATTTGATTTTATACACATGTAGAATTTCTAGTAAAACGTACAAGCTATAATTGTTTTACTTTCACTACAATATGATCGTTTATTTCAACTGCTTATTAATAATAGTTTTATTTGAAATTCATAACATAGAAATAATAGATTACTGTACTGTAACAAGATTGTATGATTGTGCTTAAGTGAATTGCTGTCCATTTCACTTTTCATTTTCTTCAGTTAAGCAATATGACACAAATATTATGTAATCGAAGTAATAAAAATACATTTTCTCGGTTATTGTTGCTGGGATTAATTAAGGAAGAAGATAAATCACAATTTTAATATTTTAAAAGTCAAATAGAGCTATTAAATATATTAAAGTTTTTATTGAAGAACTAGTTATATGCGCCTTGTAAATACGTTTAGTCGTACAAGACGCAGTCTGATAAGTTGTTCTGGTCATAAGAAGCTTAGGCAAGAATTTTACGAAGTATTACATGGTACAGTAAAACCTCGTTAAGACGATTTTTCAGAGGCTGGGCATATAAGCAACTTGAATGAGAAAACGTATTTTGAGAAAAAAAGACAATATGTTTTAAAGTACAGGGGCAAAACCAGTAGGTAGCGTATTATGCGGGAAATTGTACCAAGAATGTTTGTCTTACGGAGTTTTACTGCTTATATAGGGTAGATCGCGGGTTAAAGGTCCGCGGGTAAAGATATCTACCACCGATATTTCAAAAATAAGTAAAAGTTACGAATTTCATAACAACAATATTTGAAAGTAGAGGGAAAAGGTTGTATTACTAACCATCACCTCGATTCTTAAGACGTTGCTATCGGGGGATAAACGGTAATGCTGAGCACTGCTATTTAGTTTACAAGACCTTTATACATTTTTTAAGTATACGTTATTTAATTATTTTATAAGATGTATTGTTAATTTCAAGTTAGATCCAAAAGTTTTTTTTAATAACTCTATAAAAGCTTACACGTGAGTGGGATAAAAAGGACCACTGAACCATTACCCTGGCGAAGGTGTAAACAATAAAAAATAGTGAATAAAAAAGCAATTGAGTTGAAACAATAAATTTTACAAGAGATAAATTAAATAAATAGTTGTTCCAACTCTGTTGATGAATATTTCTGACAAAATACCAGATCAAGGTTATATGCAGTGTTATCTCTGTAGAAAATGTAACAATAAAATTTATATTTTGCATTGGTTGAACAATGTAGCTGTTATTTCGTAAATTCAATTTATGGAAGGTGATTTCGAGTTTCTTTATATATAGCATTAAAATGATATAAACTTAAAAACTTATAATCTATAAATGTATAGATTATGTTCATCATATTTCAAATATAAAAATTAGAATATTATAATATTGAGTATAACAAAACTACAGTTAATCTTATTTTATATGCAAATAAATCGACTGTCTAATATTATTTTTTCAGTTTTATTGCAAACCCGTTTTATAACATTCATAGAATTCAGATATTATCAGTATTATTTGAAAAGATGGAATGTGCCTAAAATATGTAAACATATTTATCTTTGGAGATGCGGTTAACATTTTATACATTCCAAATTAAGCTTTATATTTACTACTAAATATAAATATTTTTTTATCTGGCTAATTTTATATTTGACACTTTTTCTGGCATTCTTGTTTTTATTACTAAATGAAAATAAAGATATTGTAAGCAAAATACATTTTATTTAGTTTATTTTAATTTCGATTTTTTTTATTTGATAATTCAGTTTATGGTATTTTTCTGTTAGAATTCATATTAAACTTTACTTCTAGTACCACCGACTTGATTGATTAATTAATGATTGAAAATTATTGAAAATCGAACCTAAATTATTGAGAATCGATTCCCAAAAGGCCAAAAGCCTTTCTGTAGACTTGGTACATTATCGCCATATAAAGTATTATTAAAATACCGAGAATTGATTTTTATTTTTAACAATCAGTTATGATGAGACGGTCTGACCGATCTTTGTCCAAAACTAATCAGCACGATTTCCAAATAATATTCTTCGAATAGTATTTGAATTTTTGAAACGGATCAGGTTTTAGACTGAAACGCAGCCGAAAAAATTTGCACTTTTTGGTTAATTTTAAAAACAGCTCAGCCCATTGTATAAAATACTAACCATCGCGAGTACTTAACAAGTTTCATCGAATAGCTTTTGAATTTGTGAAATCGGTTCAGTTGTTTTAAAGAAAACGTCGTTAAAAGGTCTAATTTTAACAACCGCAAAAATATTAGGTAATTTTTTCAAATTTTGGTAAATTTTTAAAATTAAACGCCCCGTCGTAGCGCCGTAATATTTTAGTGAGTTCTATAAGACCATGATATCTGTTATCAGAAAAAGTTTCATAAAAAAATTACGGAAAAGAACTTTTCAACAGAAAGTTAGAGCGTTAGAAGTTTTTTTTTTAAATTTGGCAATAGATTGATACCATTTTATTGCTAAATATAAAAGAACTTTAAATCACTACAGGAACGTTGATGCAATTAACTGTTGAAAAGTTCTTTTCCGTAATTTTTTTTATGAAACTTGCTTCATAAACTATATCAAAAACTAATTAGCACAGCTATCAACCATAATTCGAACGGTTTTCGAATTTTCAAAATTGATACAGGATTGCCAGCTAACTAAAACGCGAGGGATAATTTTGCACTTTACTCCTGATCACAAAGAAACGGTTCTGCCAATCGTCGCGCGATCGAGATATATCGAATGGCTTTTAATTTTTTAAAATCGGTTCGTTTTTAAGTACACATCAACAGAAGGTCAAAAATCGGTACACACAGCTATACATATATTTTTTCCAAATTTAGTCTCATTCGATTCAGAATGACTTGAAGCGTCGAGAAAACATAAAATTGGCAAATTGGATTTTGTCGCGAAAACATTAACATCTTCTTCGTAAAGTTAAAAGTTAAAGGCAGTATTAAAAATAAGATTTTTGTGGAGTAAAAAATTATCAATTTTGACATTGTGTTTAGTGACTAAAGTATGTATTATTAAATTCTCGTAGGTTTATAGTAATCGCAAAAAATCGATATTGATTTTTTTTTTATATTTTTACGTTTTAAAGGTTTCTGAATATTCTGGCATGGTTTAGAAAGAATGGATGTATGTGTGTGTGTGTTCGTGTGCGTGTGCGGATACAATTTTTTGTTGACGATTTCGAAAATTCGAATTAACCAATTTGAAAGATTCAAAAAACATTCTATTCCTTTTGATAAGAAAACGTCCTGATTAGTTTTTCGCATAGCCGTTCGGAGAGACAGGGCAAAAAGTGACAAAAATTGTAATTCAATTTTTGAGAGAATCAAGCGTCTAATTTGAATGATTCAGAAAAAAAGATCATTTATTTGACGAAAATTTTTGGTGAAAAAATGATCATTCATCTGGACATATGCAGATCAAATTATCACATATTTTATGGATATTTTAATAATAAAAACAAATTTTGTTTACTTTTCTACCAACCAATGGCGACGCGGCGCCCACGCGCTTCTATTTTTCGTTTTCTACGCCACTACACAGATAACGCTTCGTGATTGCTTTGACAAAAAAGTTCAAAATTTCCAAAATATTTCAAAGTATAAAAAATCGATTTTGTCAGAGTTCTAAAAAAAATTGAAGCTTTTTTTTTTAATTTTAATTACTGGTACGGAAAGTTCCAGCAGTACGCTTTAAGGCAAGGCACGATGCCATGGACCACTAGTTCTATCTTACTATCCATTACCATTTTCTCGGTGCATTTCCCCATTTCCACTCGAAAACGTTAAAAAATAGTTCGACATTCCATTCGCCTCCCTTCGCCGCCCGTCGCCTTCTTTCGCCTCCCGTTCGCACACCTGTCTCGTCTCCAATCGTATCGTCGAGAACGCGAGTCAGCGTCTCACGGGCTACCTGGCTCACCTGAGCGAACGCATTCCTCGCCGTCGAACAGTCGTCTCTAGCCATTCGTGCAAGTAGAGACGCCAATATGACGTAAAGCTGCAAAACGAATAAAAGTGATATATGCAAAGTACTACAAAGATATTGTCATACTTTTATGGACTCTCTGAATATATTTATTAAACATATGTGAGTGTTGTGCAAATATTTTGAACGTTTTTGTGCCGGTTTTGAATGTATTACATGTGATACTTGATGTGAAATTACTCCAGGGACGATTCGAGGTAATTATTACTAATGTCAGATTGTACTGTCAAACATGAACATTGTGTTTGTAAAATAAGTAGGTTTATATGTTTGATACTATGTTGTATATGGCAAAACGTGTATTTTAGTATTGTTAAATGTGAATTTTGTCTCTTCAACAAATATCAAGTTTGTTTATATCTGTTGGTAAAATTACCAAGTCAACATAGAAGTTTCTTAAGTTCATCCTCATAATGTTACACCTAAAATGCAATTGTCATTTATTGTCGATATTTCTTATTGGCATTTTGTACTAAACTAAAGTATCAAGTTTTTGTATATCGGTTGGTAAAATTACAAGTCAACATAGAAGATTCTGAAGTCCATCCCCATAATGTTACACTTAAAATGCAATTGTCATTTGTTGTCGATATGTCTCTTAGGCGTTTTGTACTAAACTAAGGGTGTTTTGCAGTTTATGACATTTTTGAAACATTGCTATAGCAATTTTTTTCTAAACTAAGAGTGTTTTGCAATTTTTATTATGTTCATATATGCTATAAGAGAGATTTGCAACTTTTGGCATGTTTTCATCTAGGTTATAGCCATTTTCTTCTAAATTAAGAGTATCCTGCAACTTTTAATATGTTGAAATTTGACTTAAGTCTTTTCTTTCAATCAAAAAGTGTTCTGCATCTTTTGGCAAGTTTTCATCTGTGTTCTAATTATTCTAAACTAAGAGAGTTTAGAATTAAGCCGCTTTAAGCCACTTTCCTCCAAATTAAGAGAGTTCTGCAAATTTTGACATGTTTTCATCTAGGCTATAGCCATTTTCTTCTGAAATCCGTATAATGTTACACTTAAAATGCAATTGTCATTTTTCGTCGATATGTCTCTTAGACGTTTTGTACTAAACTAAGGGTATTTTGCAGCTTATGACGTTTTTGAAACATTGCTATAGCGATTTTTTTCTAAACCAAGAGTGTTCTGCATGTTTTAATCTATATTATAGCTATTGGTTTTTATTTACTAGTGTTTTGCAACTTTGTATATATTGTCATTTGTTCTGCAATTTTGGCAAGTTTTCATCTATATTTTAATTATTCTAAACTATGAGTGTTCTGCAATTTTTAATATGTTTTCATATATGCTATATTCACTTTTCTTCAAATTAAGAGAGTTCTGCAACTTTTGGCATGTTTTCATCTAAGTTATAACCATTTTCCTCTAAACTAAGAGTGTTCTGCCACTTTTGACATGTTGCTATACATATTATAGCCTTTTTCTTCCAAACTAAGATTATGCTGCTATTTTTGACATGCTATTCATTTTTTCTAAACTAAGAGTATCTTGCAAGTTCTGCCATTTGTCCCAAGGCTATTTTCTTCCGAACAAGAAGTGTTCTGCAACTTTTGGCAAGTTTTCATCTGTGTTGTCAGGGCCGGATTTAGAAATTTGGCGCCCCGGGGCACTGACAAAAATGCCGCCCCATCCCTGAAATTTTACGAGCTTTTTTTTTTAAAGCAATCGCGCTGCTTCAGCTGCGAGGGACAGAATATAGAAGCGCGTAAGCGCCGCGTAGCAGTCTAACGGATAAACAATGTTACAGAACTTATATAAATGTAAACAAAATTTACACTTATTATTATAATATCTTTAAAATATCTGATAATTTAATGTGCATATGTCTTATGATCACTTTTGTCCGCCAAATGTTTCTTTTTCAAATTTTTTTATAGGATCATTGAAACCGCTAAACCTGCCCTCCACGAATTTAAGCAGTTATTTATTCTGTAAATTTTTTCGAATGTTATGGGACGCTTTTTTCTCAAAAACTGAATTATCATTTGTGGCATTTTGGCCCCTATCTTCAAAACAGTTGGACTTGGAGTCTCTTTATCAATAGGAATTGAATCATAAATCGGTTGATCCTAATTCTCGAAATCGACTTGAATAATTAAAAAATATTAGATTTGTATTGATGGGGAGACGTGCTGATTAGCTTTTGGTACAGGCAATCACGAAAAATGGTAATTGAGTTTCGATATTTCTTCTTAGAAACAGCTACGCAGCGCGATTGCTTTGCAAAAAGTTCATAATTTTCGAAAAATTTCAAAATACAAAAAATGTGTTTTAGAAGTCTTTTTTTTCATTTTTCAATAAAATTTAAAGTTCTTTATAAATTGTAATTTTAGTACGGAATGTTTTAGTAATTTGTCTTGAGGCACGATGCCATAAGTCACTAGTAAATTTTTTTTTGACGCTATAAGCTTGGAAGTGCACAAATACGTCATTTTAATAGGACTCGAGAACTGAAGAACATATTTTTCTTAAACTTTCAGCTTGTTTACGGATCCTACGTCATTTTATGATACGTCATTTTAATAGGACTCGAGAACTGAAGAACATATTTTTCTTAAACTTTCAGCTTGTTTACGGATCTTTATATTAGCCAAATTGCCAAATTTGATAACTTATTAACCAATTTGATAATTTACGTTCGGAGAGAGAGGCAAGGCAAAATAATAAATTTTAGTTATCGTTTATTTCAACCCAAATTTTGCATTGTAATCGTATTATGCTTTGTTAACTATATTTCTTGAAATAAAAAATGTTAAAAAAAGTTGATTATATTGTATAGAATTTTTTTCTCAGTATCCAAATTTTGCCGCCCCCAAAATTTGCCGCCCTGGGCAGTAGCCCCGATTGCCCCTACTGTAAATCCAGCACTGTGTGTTGTAACCATTTTCTGTTAAACTAAGAGTGTTCTCCAATTTTTAATATGTTTTCATACATGCATATTTCAAATTAAGAGCATTTGCAACTTTTGGCATGTTTTTATCTAGGTTATAGTCATTTTCTTAGAAACTAAGAGTGTTCTGCTGCTTTTGACATGTTTTTATCCATGTTACAGACTTGTTTTTTTTAAACTAAGAGTGTTCTGCAATTGTTGATTTTTTTCTAAACTCAGAATATCTTGCAACTGAAATGTTCTCATGTATGTTAATCTATTTTCCTGTAAACAAAAATTGTTCTGCAATTTTTGGCATGTTTTTGTTCATGTCAAAAATTGCCTATAGCCTTTTATTTCCAAACTAAGATTGTGCTGCCATTGTTGACATGTTTTTATTAATTTTATAGCCATTTGATATGTTATCTCAAGTTGGCTTATAAGGCTTTTATTCCAAACAAAAAATGTTCTGCAACTATTGGCAAGATTTCATCTGTGTTCTAATTATTCTAACCTACTGCAATTTTTTATGTTTTCATCTAGCTAGATTATAGCAATTTTTTCTTAACTAAGGATATTCTGCAACTTTTGTCGTGTATTCAGTTATTTCATTCAGAAAAATATAGGTAGCTCTCTGAGTTTCTTATTCAAACAATTTTATTTTGAAATCATATATAATTGGTTGGGTGACTATTAGAATTCTTAAGAAGTTTTTAGGTTGCATTTTATTTACACACTTTAGGCATATCTTCGCTATGACAATACCAAATTTGATTACTCAAATACATATTAAAAAAATTAGGCATGTAAAATATTCTACGCGTGTTTTTTTCTGAATTAATATAGTATAACATGTTAATGTTTATATTACAAAAAGGAACAAGGAAAAATATTTAAAAAAAATAAAATTGGTTTTTATTTTTGATTGATTGAAACTTGCTGTGTCTTTTCACCCTGCTTATATTGGCAATGAGTAACTTTTTATTAAACTTTGTTATTATTTTTACTTTGTATTATGATTGCAATAACATGCATAAAACTATCAGTCTTTTTTGCAAATATTCCCAATTATTGTTTATTAATATTTCCAAATTCTTTAAGAAAAGTTGTTAAAAAATAATATTTGGTGCATATTCATATTTCGAATATATAATGCTCAAAGCATGCGACAGATTTGATAAAACTATACACTAGTTCTAAAAGAATCTTAGTCAAGAAAATAATCTGAGCAGTTATTATTTAAATAATGGCTGCCCAATATTATTGTTAAATTTTTATAATGATACTTCAGATTAAAAATATTTTTTAACGACAATTTAACCGCCAAAATTTTATATGAAACCTTTATCTATTTTATATAAAATTAGGTTCACAAAAGTACATTTTAACCGAAATACACCTGCTTTCAGTTTTTTTTTTCCAACGTATCTATTTAACGAGGGTGTAAAATGAGTTTATATATTCAACATGTGTCTATATGGTACTAGGACCTCGCTTCAAAACTGTGTAGTTCAGAAAAGTGTATTTTGATAAACTAAATATTTGTTTTTCCGAATTTGATAATAGAAAAATTATATCATGGCTTACATAGCATCGTACTATAAAAATCTGTGCAAACTACTATATTAACTAAAGTTAAAGAAACTCCATAAATGTTCCATACGAAGCAATCAATTAATTTCCATAATCATTTAATAACACACTTCACTCAATGAATAAATTGCATGATGTCTTATAAATACGTGACAAATTTATAGCAGGACCATTTCAAAAATATTTAAAAAATTTTTACAATTAATTTGACAATTGTTGTTTAAATTAGAATTTATTGAATGGGTTATTCATGCAGCGATACTAATTTTTATGTGGAAATTGTCTTTTGTTGTGCAAGAACATTTAGCACTTAGAACTTCTAAGTAAATCAAGGTTGTTGAGTACATATTGAATATACTAAAGATGCTGCAATAGATTTGTTTGGTGTTATATTTCTGGATCCCAAAATTATACTACCATTTATTTCATTCCTTATGACTTGACAACGTACATACATATATAGTTCCTTCTTGGGCTGCGTTAAGGTACAATTAATTATAGAAAAACGAGCTAATTTGTTATATAACACCTTTGACTAGAATAAGTCAAAAAAAAATTTATTTCAAATATTTTTTAACAGAAATCGGAATTTACCGAGTCGTAGGTGTTGCTCTGACTTTCTTATGTGTTTTTTTTTATAGACAGCCCATACCATTGTCCCATTGATTTTATTATTATAATTTGCGTAATACTGATAAATATATATAAATAATA